GGAGCCTGATGCAGGGCTCAGTCTCATGAACCTGAGATCATGACCTGAGCTGAAACCAAGAGTCAGGTGCTTAACCCACTGAGCCACCCAGTGCCCCTATTTGGCTCTTTTAAAAGATTTATCATTTAGGTTTTTATAAACCCTCCCAGAATTTTTACAATAAGCAATCATTAACCTAAGATCAAAACAAAATATTAGAGAACTTAAGGAATCATTAGAATTCATAACTTAGTAAAAGTTTGGACAAATGTATAATGACATGTATCCATCGTTATGGCATCGCATAGGGTATTTTTATTTCCCTAAAAATCCTCTGTGATTCCCCTATTCATACCTTCCTCCCAGTCTCATGGCAACCACTAATCTTTTTAATGTCTCCATAGTTTTTCCTTTCCTAGAATGTCATATAGTTGGGACATACAGTATAGAGTCTTTTCTGATTGGCTTCTTTCATTTAGTAGTATGTGTTTAAGGTTCCCCTGTGTCTTTTCATGCTTGATAGCTCATTTCTTTTTTAGGGATGAATCATATTCCACTGTCTAGATGTGTGACAGTGTAAATATCCATTCACTTACTGAAGGACATCTTGGTTGCTTCCAAATTTGGCAATTATGAATAAAGCTGCTATCAATATTCGTGTCAGGTTTTTGTATGAACATGTTTTCAACACCTTTGAGTAAATACCAATTGCTGCATATGACAGATCTACTTTTAATTTTTTTATGACTCTCCATACTGTTTTCTATATGGCTGTGCCAATAGAAGTGTGTGGCTCTTTTTTTTTTTAAATCAAGAGTTTAAGAGTTATTTTATTTTTTATTTTTATATATTTTTTAAAGAATACAAATAGAAGTTTATTATACAAAATTGAGTCCTTCATATTTCATAGTTCATGAAGGCTAAACAAAGACTAGGTTTTTTTTTAAATCATTCACAAAAATTTCACTTTCACTCCCCCTCATCCCAACTATTAAAAAATGGCCTGACCAAATGTTATCAAAACAAACACTATAAATAACACCACGTGCTTTAAAGACAACTCTCCCATATGTTATTTCTTGGTATAGGTGATCTTCATGGCATGTGACGGTGTGATTTTAAATCCCTGTAAAGCATCCCTGGCAGCTCCAGCCTGTCCATCATTTTCAAATTCAACAAAAGCAATGTCATGCCTCCCAGGTACCAAACGTATTTCCTTGAAGCCAGGAAACTGATTAAATAGCATGGATAACATCATCTCATTAGTCTCTTCTGGTAAATTATTGAGGAATAAAATATAGTTTGGAGGGTAATCAGGGACCTGAGGATTTGGTGTTGAATTTCCTTGGGTATTTGCTGCATTTGGTGTTCCCTGACCAGGCTTTTTGTTTGCAGTGGTCGCAGTCTGTTCCACAGTTTTCGCTTTTTTCTTTTCCTTCTTCTTTTCTTCGTCAGCAAAAGTGCCACGCATTTTAGATATTATATCCGAATCTGTTTTTGCATACTAGATTCGCATTGGTTTACCATAAAATGGAAATCCTTGTAACTGTCTCAAGGCATTTGTGGATGAGCCCAGTTCCTTAAAAATAACAAAGGCTTGCCCCCTCATCTTCATGGTCTTTAAAGCTACAATATCTACAACGTGGCCAAACTGAGAAAACAGGGCATACAGGGATCTCTTCAACTCTTCTTTTTTAATTTTGTCATTCATATTGTTGATGTAAATTGTATGATTTGGTCTGATATCCATGTTTGGAGTTAAACTGTTCAAACTGCCTGAGGCCTACGTTGGTCCCCTATTTTTATATTTTTTAAGATTTTATTTTTTATTTATTTGACAGAGAGTAAGAGAGAGAGAGAGAGCACAAGTAGGGGGGAGAGGCAGAAGGAGAGGGAGAAGGAGAAGTACAGTCCCCACCGAGCAGGGAGCCTGATGTGAGGCTGGATCCCAGGACCCTGGGATCATGACCTGAGCTGAAGGCAGATGTTTAACCGACTGAGCCACCCAGGCGCCCCTTAAGAGTTATTTCATTTAGTTTCTAAGCTTATGGGATTTATTGAAGGTATCTTTTTGTTAAGGTTTCTAATTTTATTGTGAAATGGTGGAGTACATAGTTTGTATGCTGTTGATTTTTTGGAATTTATTGAAGTTTCTTTGTAAGTTAAGTCATGATCTATTTCTGTAACTGTTTCAAGTATGCTTGAAAAGAATCTCTTTTTCCCCATGGCTTAATTTCCACATTCATGAAACAGGAAGAACTGAAAATGTCTGACTCCTTTGATTTTTGTTTTGAAATCTGCAGAACTAAAAGACCAGATTGAAAGACAGAAAAATACTACATTTGTTCTTTTTGACTCTTTATTTTGCAAACTAACAATGAGTATACAACTTGACACAACTAAACACAGTAGGGGAAAGAGAAAAAGGAAAATATCTGTCCTTCCTGAAAATAGATTTGTTACCACTGGGTAACAGGTGCTTAATCCTCTGTGGGGGCACATTTCCAGCCTACAGACAGGGAATAAACAGAGTGGAGGAGTAATCATCTGTGATAGTGATTCTGATCTGTGTTTGACTTTTTAGGCTGCTGTCCTTAGATATTTGTATTAGTGAAGCTGAACCTCTGGCGTGCTGCTCAGAAGTATCATTGTATGGTAATTAGTGGGGTGGTGATCCTGCAATGAGCTGACTGAGGGCAGTTGGCTAGTCAACCAGTCAGCCTAGTTGCTTTGGGGGCAACATGAATGCTCATCTAAATTTGCCATTGGAAGAGGAATTTAATGATCAGGGGCTTTCAGTCAGATCCTTAATAGCCAACCTCTTAGGTTGCTCACCATCTGGACTCCATGGCCCTCTGCTCCTGCACTAACTCTTCTCTTGCTGCCTCTTACACTCTTTTCTTCTCTTCTGTGAACTCTCATGGAACTCATTGTTGGCTCCCTGGACTCATCATCAATGTCTCCTTCTAGTTTCCAGAAGATCTCAAGCCTTTCCAAATAGAACATGTCATTAGGAAGTGTTTTAAGCTAGGTAGTTTTATATGGGTGTGCTTTGTGCCGTATGTTTCAACTTTAGTATATGTTTGAAAATTATCAAAGTTTATACTTGGAAAAATTACACCGCAAAGTCTGTAACCTCAGCTATTGCTAGTATCGCAAAAGGTCTGCACTTTATCTGGATGAAGGCAGAGAATGTTGCTAATACCTGTCCACATACAAAAGATAAATCTTTCGCAGGAAAGGAAAGCAGTTCCAGAGAAGACAAAAGAAAAAAAGAGGTAGAGAGTGAAGAGAGTACCAGGAACTCAGGAGTATCAAGTGGGAGGTGGCACCAGAATGATTTGTCAATATTTTGGCTGTCGTTAGAACAACAGACTCTTCACCATACATGGCCGTGTGGTAAACTGGGTATTGGAAAGGGCATGAAATTGGAAGGACCTGGTTAGAATTCAGGTTTGGCATATATTAGCTGTGAAATTTTCACTAGGACATTTGTCCACTTTGATTCCACAGTCTTCACATATGTAAAATGCTAATAATAGGGGTGCCTGGGTGGCTTAGTCTGTTAAACGGCTGCCTGGGATGGAGCCCCACATCGGGCTCCCTGCTCAGCGGTGAGCCTGCTTCTCCCTCTCCCTCTGTCTGCCACTCCCCCTGCTTGTGCGCACGCTCTCTCTCTGTCAAATGAATAAAATCTTAAAAAGATAAATGCTAATAATAATAATACTTGCCACCCATTAAAAAATTGTCACTACTGGTATAATAAAATGGTATATTGGTATAGTAACACTTTAAACTGGTTACAAAAATTAGAAGGTTTTGAGGAGGGAGGTTTAGAATTGCTTTCCATTGATTTGCTTACAAAGTTTTTAATCTTCCACTAGAGGTGTTGGTTGAGAGAACCTTTATAGAAATAATGATATTTGAGGTGTTTTTCCTGCAGGTATTCGACTTTCTGCATGTATCACCCAATTGATTTAAAAGTGAATCAATGAATGTGTTTATTGATTGCCCCATTTCATAAAGGAGTTCAGGAATGACCCTCCTTTTGATATTCTTATATGTCTCTATATTTGGATCATGCATTTGTCTTGCTTTCCGAATGAAAAAATGTGGTGAACTCAGCAGGTCACCCCCCAGTAACATCCATTCTCTTTTTAGAATGTCTTTCTGTGCTTCAGAAGCTGGAAAACTCCAAACCACATGCTCCAGACACCCTTGCTGCAAATGTTCTGCATTTGAAATAGGTCTCACCAATTGCAAACATCAGAGTAAGATTTGCAGGTGCTGTTTTGATGTTGCTGGCAAATACAGCTGTGGAGACCTTGGGTTTTCCGCAGCAGTGTTTCAATGTCCAGTCACTTGATCTCTCTGTTGAGAAGAGATGGGGATAGGATTTCCCGATTGTGGTCAGTTAGGCAGTGTTGTCTAGGGAGTCATTCTCGGATGCCCAGGCCTCTTCCAGCCTTTCTAATGATTGTGAATATCCCCAATTCCCCGTGACCAATCCTTTTCTTTCCAGAGTAGCTAGCTGGTTGCTGTAACTGAATAATTTACTGACGTATAATCTCTTTGTGGGCAGGAACTCTTGTGATATAAGATATAAACGACCCTGCATTTTAGTGGAGGGAAACAAACGACAGATAATTAAGTAAAAGTTTTAATAAGATGGTGTACATGCTACAGATAAAAACGAAGTTGGAAAAGGGATGGATGGGGAGTGCAGGAGATGAATGTTGCAATTTTAAATAGTGGTCATGGAAGGCTACGCTGATAAGGTGACTTTTGAGACCTAACCATCTATTATGTCAGTTGTGTGCAAGACTGTGGAGTTCCTGTGTTAAAATACTACTTTCCTTAGGTAACACCCTAAGTGATGCTCTTTTCCATCTCCAGGCCGCTTTATTGTTTACCCACAGCAAACATGGCGGAAAAGGCTTCAGTCCGACACTTGTCCCCTCCCCCCAATAATGATGGCTACAGCACTTCCTGTGTTTGCCCTTAAGAAAGATGGAGACAACACTTCCTGTTCAGGGCTTTCGCCTTCAACAAAGATGGTGCTTATGGTACAGGTTCCCTAACAGTCTGGATTCCGGTTGCGGTTTCTTTCTTTCTTTCTTTTTTTTTTTTTAATATACGTGTTTGCAGACGTAAGTAACAGGAAATCAGAAACCCCGTATCCATTTTTTCTCGAAGGCCCCGCAAGGTGGAGTCTGTGGCCTGGGCCCTGCGTGGCTCTCCGCCCCCCCCTAATTTGTTCGCGGCATTTCCGAGCCGGGCCCGGGTTGGGGTGGCGGTAGGGATGCCGGGGGCCGCTACCCCTTCAGTCTGCTCTGAGGATCATTCCCAGCACCCACTTTTTACCTTGTCAGATTGCCCCGAAAATTCCTCCTAGTTCTTCCTGTTCGTAACACAACAGGACTTCAGCTGGTGAGGCAGGGAATAAAAAGCTCCAAACGGGCGTTGGCAGCCAAAAGTGCACACCCTTCCCCTCACCTGCCACCTCCCGGACTTCCCCGAGGGCTGCTCGAAGGAATGGGGTCGGGTCGCCGGCCGGTTGTACTTTCTGTGGGTGCCTGGAAGCCCCATCTGCCGCCTCCCCCGCACTCCCCGCCGCTTCTTTACCGTCACATCCTCCGCACAAGCGCCCTCAAACTCGGGCAGTGGCCTTGAAAACAGGCCTTAAAATCGTGCGTGGCTACTGACCAGGGCTGGCGTGTGGACAATTTTTCCTTGTAAAGAAAAAAAAAATCCCCACTAAATGTTCCATACATGTGTGATCCGGGCAGTGTTGTGATAGAGTTTCGGGATTCTTAGAGGGCTGGGCTGGATGGAGTCTGTGACCATATATAAGGTTTATTGTAGAGTCACACACAATAAATATTTTTCTTGGAGATGGTAGTGTATAGGGCTTTTCTCTTAGGGGAAAAGAACCTTAACTTAGTGGTACCTACCGGTTTCTGGGCCCACTCCCATTGCTATGCAGGTTCAGCAAATGCCCATGGTCAGAAGGGCACCCTGCATGCTTTATTGGCAATTTCCCTGGTATTGGGGTATGTCTGATGAAGGCTATGTTAAAATAAAGCCACTGTTTCTTTTTAAGTATGTTAAAATGAAAAGCTGCTCTGTAATTTTCAGATCAAAGTTGCTTTTTAAGCAGGGTCCATGGCCCAGTTTTTTCCAAACCTCTTTATCAAGCAAGGAATGGAGCTAGGATTCCATTGTGCGGAAAGCAAAAATAGAAAAGATGATTCGTATTCAGCGTCGTTCATTATGTTCGGAAACATTCAAAATTACTTTGCTTTGGCTTAACAGCTGTGTACCAAACACCATGGCCTGGCACTCTGCTAAGGTTCCAAGTTGTACCTGACCTTAAGGAGCTTGCACCGCATGTAGGACACTGTCTTTAGTGGTTGGTGAGCTCCCTGTAATCTGAGCTACTATTTTGTCTTCTCCCAGGGAGAAATGGAGGCTAGAGACAAGCAAGTGCTTCGCTCCCTTCGCCTGGAGCTGGGTGCGGAGGTACTGGTGGAGGGACTGGTTCTTCAGTATCTTTACCAGGAAGGGGTCCTGACAGAAAACCATGTTCAAGAAATCAAAGCTCAAGCCACAGGCCTCCGGAAAACAATGCTGCTGCTGGATATCCTACCTTCCAGAGGTCCTAAAGCATTTGATGCATTCCTAGATTCCTTGCAGGAATTTCCCTGGGTTAGGGAGAAGCTGGAGAAGGCAAGGGAAGAAGCCATAATTGAGCAGCCTGCAGGTAGGCCTCAAAAAGATCACTGCAAACCAGGTGCAAAATTGTCAAAACTGTGTCCTTTGGATGTGAAGTTGGGGTTTTAGGCTGGGGGTGGGTAAGGAGTTTGGACTGAAGGCACAGCGTGTTGGAGGCGCAGGATGAGGAGGTGGAATTAGGAAGTGCAGGGAAGGAAGAATGAGCCATGATCAAATGGGTGAGGAGGGAGGTCAGAGAATACATTTAGAAAATGCTTCCAGGGAAACTTGGCAAGTCACCTGGGAGGCATGTTCTCATCTGAGAGCCAGGTCATATCTCAGCGCTTGGCATGGGGAGCTATTTGGAAAGTGCAGATGGGAAAGCAGGCTTTAGGCTTACTGATAACTGATTTGTGGGGTGCCAGAGCTGCTGGAAAAGGTCAGCTTCATGAAGGAGGAGACAGCCTCTAGGAAGGCATGCCTTGCACCTGTTCCCTAGGCTATCCTGCATGGCCAAAGGGGATTATTTCGAAAGCTGGTTAAGTAAGTTTTTAAAGGTTATTGATTTAAAGTCGGTCTTTTTTAGTTTGGCTTTGTTCAGACACCCAGAGCATTTACTGTTATAAGAATAGTAGTTTGGGGAGGGTCGCATTTTGATTTTAAAGAAAGTTAGAAGCTATGGAGAAGAGAAACAGTCCCAGTGCTACAAGCCTGGCTTGTAGCAGGAAGAAGATGTGATGTGAAACATTTTCCCTCTTAACTCCATGACTTTTACTGTTTTACAAAGCTGGGGGAGCAGAGAACTGAATTGCCTGAAAAAAAAATCTATAAATAAAATAAAATTAATTAATTAAACAAGAAAATAAAAAAATAAAAAATTGAAAGTTGACTTTGCAAATTTTGGAACAGTTAGGAAATCGACATTCTCCGGAGATTTTGAAAGCAGTGATAGTTAGAACTCCTCTAGGACAGTGGTCCTCAGACTTTGTTGTTGCAGTTTTAAAAATACCAACAAAACTGGTTAAAAAACAAATGCCAGTAGTAAAAGACCAATTTTATTATTTTTGCCCTATGGACCTCATATTTTGTTTTTGTTTTGGGGTTTTCTTTTTCATGGACTGCATATTTTGAATGATTTTTCAGACCACAGTTACTAACTAATCATGATGAATCCTATTTTTATTAATGACATATGTCTGAATATCTGCTCTGCGTGAGGTAACCACTTAACTTAGGAAAGCTTGGTTAAATCCCAGGGGAAAAAAGCAAACACATTTTCATTTTCTAGCATGGCCAAATTACAGGTAAATGTGTTTTAGGCTTTTTGAAATACTGAAAATAGCCATCCTTTCCGGGCCCCAGGAATTTTCAAGTTCGAGTGTCCTTACAAAATTAAATACTTCAGGTGTGTGAACAAATCCAAACTAAAGTATCTAAGACATTTCTACCACTTTACTGAAAGCAGAATAAATAACATAGACTGGGGGACACATTAAGAGAAGTATTAGGGTATCCAGTGTCTTTTTCTGGTATTTGACTTAGAGATTCCTCTTGGCACCAGATAGTTGGAAATAACAAAACAAGTGAACCGAAACCCCGTTACTACCAAAATATTTCATTTAATTTTACAATCATTTTGGGTGATGTAACTAGTCCTGTTGTATGTTGTTCATAGAGGTGTGACCCCATTTTAACTTTTTGTTTTATTTAGAGAACAAGAAAAAATTATGATGTTTTTTACCAAATGGTGAAAGTTACATGGAAGTTGAGGGAAAACTAGTTTGTTTTTTAAAGTAAGCAGAATGAAACAGTATAATATGAGGAAAAATTGAGTGTGTCTGCATGAAAAATATTAATTTGTTAGTTCTGTGGAAGTGTTCAAATGGAAGGATAGGTTAGCTACTGTACAAATTTTAAGTACTCTTGTTTTACTTTTTGTCCGAGTAACACGGCTATTGAAAAATGTTTTGAAGAGAGAGTTTGATTTACATATGTTTCTATATACCTTCTGCAATGATAATAACATAAACTTAGTTTTAAAGTAAGTTTTGTTAATTATTGAGTATTTTAAGTAAGATTATAAAATACAAGTAAGGTATAGAGAATAATGGTGCAGTGAACATCTGTCTCCCCATCACTCAGTTTTAAAAAAATATATTACCATTGCCTTTGAGGACCCTGGGTGTTTCTTCTCAGGCCTACCTCAGCCCCAACCCCTACTTACTGGTAAATCCTGAATTTGAAGTTTATCATTCGCTTCTTCACTTTGTAGTTTTCTCCCTCATAAAAATCACTTTTAAAATCCACTTATGGAAAATCTGCAATACCATAAGTTTTAGCAAGATATATAAAGATACAAATAAAAAATATAATGTGTGTGAGAGAATAGGGGATGGAGGAAATGATAGACTTAATTTAAATTAATTATTTATTTGGGAAATGATGTATTTTAACAGCCTTCTCTTATTTGGGACCTTAAACTTTCAGTATTTAATTAAGTTGATGGTGATATTTTAATTCTAAAATTCATTGGGAGTTAATTAATTGAAAACCTAAGTTTTTTTTTTTTTTTTGGAAAATCCTGGAGTGTCAGAGTTGAGATGCCTTCAATTTAATATTTCTGTAAAAAATGCAGATGGATGCAGAGGTCTCTTTCCCAGGAACCCGTGCTTCTCCATTGTTGTAAGAATAATTTTAATGAACTTTTAAAAAGACCATTTAAATTTTTACAAAGGCATTTTTGAATTTTGAGGAACTAAACTATAGGAAGATGTGGTGCTTATGTATTATGTGTATGTTAACCTTGTCTGATCTTTTGCTCATTTTCATTGTCATTATTAATTAATTTGTGTAGATTTGGTGGTCTCCTCTTGGGAGGTCTGAGAACCAATGGGCAGGAATGGCTTTCTCTTTGGTCAAAAGGCCGAAACTTCTCCAAGAATGAGCTGATTTAATTTTATTAAAAAGTGTTCTTGTTTTGGGCTTCTCAGAGAATCCTGGTTTCCTCTTTGCTTGTTTAATTTCTGTGTTTCACTTGTAAATTTTGAGTTGCCTCTACAGGCCCTATTGGTGATAGATCCTACTTAGTTGCTTTTTATTAGAGAAGAATCCAGTTGTATCTTAACCTTCTCTGGTCTCTTAAACTCTACCCCCAACAAATCCCCAAAAATAAAAAAACACCTTAAACCTTTGGTTCTTTCAGAGCCTACCTAGCTGATGGGTCTTCCTATTTATGTTTTTTTTTTAAAAAAAGTCTAAGATGTTAATGCATAATTGATTTTGTGTTTTTCTCACCCTGTGAGGACTCTTATATTTTAGAAGAGAAATTCTGGCAATAAAATTACTTAATCCAGCTTGGCACTGCCGAAGGGACACTTCACAGTGTGTCCGTCGCTGGCCAAGGACGCATAATAGACAATAGATCGGCTGGCAGTCGTCTGTGGGCTCCCGTCCGGTCTTTTAGGAGATGAGAACAGTGCTGAGTCTGGGTGTAGGCAGCATGTGCCTACCTGCTTGGCTTTCTACTGCTCATGGGCCCTGTCTGCTGACAGGCTCTCCCTAGTGCCTGAGCTAATCTGGGTCTGGAAAAGAGGTTTATGGCAGCCCTAGTGCCACCAGCTGGTGGGACTTAGCCTAAGTCATGGTGGGAGTGACTCCTGGGCCCCAGGACTCCCTGTTCCACCGTGCTGGCCCTGTTTGTGGGACTGGGTCTCTGCTGTGATTCTCACTTACCAGTCAGCCTGGCAACTTTGCCTTTAATTCCAGTCTTACGTTAGGCTTGGGAGTTTTTTTCTCCCCCCTTCTCTGTAGGCTAGATTCTGGCTTTACGTCCTCTTAGCCACTGGCAAGGATGAAGGACTGATGTCTTGGAACACAGCTCAGTGCCTCATATGTTAGCGTCAGATGCCTGAACACTCTAGCCTCCTGAGGCTCTTTGCTTCAACTTTGCCTCAGCTTCAGCCGGTCCTCACCACGGACCCTATGCCCTGACATTGGCTGCCCTCACTGGTGCAGGATGCAGGGCTAGTCTGTTTTTTCTTCTATCCAAGGGCTCCAGGGCTCAGCCTGTTCCTCTTGGAGCTGGCCTTGTGTGACCATGCAGAGGCACATCAGCTACTATCTCAAGATCTACTCTGGCTCTCAGATGTATACTTGGATGCATCTGAAGTTATGAGCAATAATGGCAAAGACCTTAGGAATTGTTAATAGGTTTACTGGAGAGATTTCTAACCTGGGATTCTCCAGTCATACCATGAATTGGCCCTACTCTGCGTATAATAAGTTCGGTGTTGATCTCAGTTCATCTAGCTTGTGGTCTCTCCAGGCACTTCTGCTGTGGCTGGGTAGAGTTCACTTTGTGGCATCCTGTGTACTCAAGAGGGAGTGGTGGGTCAGCATCCACGGTAAGACCCTTCCCTGTGGTAAGGGCAGAGTCTGCAGAGAGCCCCAGTGTGATTATCATACGCAGCCTGAGGACCAACTAGATACCAGGCACTAGGAAGTAAAGACATGTGAAAGACCTCCAGATCAATTGAGGGGTTCATTTATTCATTGAGGAAATATTGAGTATTGACATCAGGTACTAGGATGTTATGGGAAACAAAGCCCCAGCTCTTCTAGAGCTCACCATATGCTGTAGTCTGATGGGAATAGACAGAAGCGAATGGGTGAATACTAGCACTGTGAAGAGTGTCTGGTGGTGAGGAAGGGCTTCGCACATTGTACAGGGTGGTCAGAGAAAGCCTCTCTGCCGTGAGGACGTGGAGCAGAGACCTGAATTCTGCAACAGAGTGGGTACTTGGAGGAGGACCGTTTCAGATAGAGGGGACCACGGAAACACAGGCCCTCTGGTGGGAGCCCTCAGTGACAGTGTGGCTAGAGCCCAGGCCCGTCTGGGATAAGAACCTTCCTCGCGGAGAGCTGAGTCACGCCTCACGTCAGCAAAGGCCCAGTCTTGACCATTCGTTGTTGGGCTTCCCAAATTGTGAGGTGTGTGCACAGCCATGATCTTGAGTGGCTCTCAAAATGATTTTAGATGAAATGCAGATA